GGGTTGGTTTTGCTTCAGGAGCATCTCCCTCTCCTTTTATTTTCACRCTCCAGCCTGACAGTGATGCTGGCAGCCTTGTGCAGTATTGATTTACACTGAATGGGATGAGGAAATGGTTTCATAACCATCTTGTTTTCTTGTAAGGTTCTTTGTAATGTGCCTTATGACCTTATTTCTTTGTACACAAATCGCCTGAAGAAAATTATTATTGAGAAAAGGGAGCCAAGGGACTCTACAGTACAAATTGTGGTTGCTCCCTGTATCCTAAATTGCCCCCTGCCTGGAAATCTTTTGTTTCCAGTTTCTCCTGAAATAAGCACTAGGCCCTCCAGAATACAAATATCAGATAATTTTTCCTTACTCTCTTTCCTCACTTTTTTTGTAGTAATGTCTCTTTTATTGTCAGYATTTGAAGAATTAAGATATATTTATTTATAATTAATAAATATATAAAAATTATATAAATATATATGAAGTATATATATTAAAGTACAGAAATACTGTATTTTGCTATAGAATTAGAATATACTATTAAGATACAATGGAAGTGTATTCACCTACAAGTTTCATAAAACAGTTCAGGAATTGTAAACTACTTAATGCATTCAAAACAATATAGGGAGGCTTTTTTATGGCCAGAAAATTGAAGAAAATGCATGTCAGGAATAGATTTGTTCATTAAGAAGCACTTTATCCTTTCTCTCAGCATAACTGCATGCTGCAGGCCTGCTGCCTGTGCTGTGCAAAACACCACAATATTCTGTCAGGAGTTCTGGATCYCAGGGAGATTTAATGTTTAAGCTGTCATCTGTGTTATAGACAGTTTATACACCTCAAATTTAGGCAGTATAAAACTTACATACATCTGGTTTATCACAGAGTGGAGTTTACACCATTTTAAAGCATATCATTCCTACAGTGGTAGCTTTTGTTATAAAGGTTCTGCTCTTTTTCCCCTAATTGTACATCACATGCCACTAATTGGTCTTTATCTTAAACTTATCCCATGATAGTCACTTGATAGGGAAAGCTCTCAAGTTTCTYTGGTGAGTGATAACTCTTGCATTATTCTGAAGAGCCTTTTTTGTGCAATTAATGTTATTTTGATTTTTTTTTTTAATCTTTGGAACAAAAATTCTACAATAATAAATAAATTTGGGTCAGCTACTTTTAACCACACCAGCAAAGGGCAAAATGGTCATTTATGTGAGTAATTCTTACTTAAAGTATAAGCAGAGAGAAGATAAAATTAATTTGCTTGCTCATCCTGTGAATCGTTATAGGAGTTTCTTTGTTGTTGTGAATACAAATCATTTAGTCAGAACTTATCAGAGGCTGCACACATATAGACTGTTTTTCCTTGCTTTTTCTCTRTAAGACATTTTTTGATTACATACAAATTTCCTGTCATTTTATTAGCAGATTCTTATTYGCYGCTGCATCAAGAGGGTAGATGGATAGAATCTATGTAACATTCYTTTTCCTCTGATCTTACTACTTATATCTTCATTTGTATTTTAAAATTAATTCATATCTGGAGTGATTTTTTTTTAATATAAAATATAGTTACCAGCTGAAATCCCCCAAAATTTCTTTATTTAGAAGAATAAGCTACAACTTATAAAACTCCTATCCTTATCTCCTGTTCTTACTGGCAAAGCATTCCAGCTACATTAGCGTGTGTGCATATTCGGTGCATATGTATCTTGGTGATACTTTTTCCAACAACTTCCTCTGTTCATATATTTAGGCTTGATGTGTTTCACTCTCCATTGGTGAGTTATGCATGAAATGTAACCCTCCATTGGAAGAATTTAGTAAAAATTGTTTAGTTGAGCTGAGTTTATTGACTAAGAGAGAAGTGTGTACAGTGRCTGTGGCAGTTTTTAATGCCATAATTGTGCGTTGGGTGAAGTAAGTTCCTAACCACTGAGGTAGGGCTGCTGCTTTCTGAGCAGTGATCAAGTGCTCGAGTGTATCAAGTCTTCCATGGGGTAGCTAGTGCTAGGCACTCAGAAATGAACATGTTACTAGATTGCAAAGTCTGAAAAACAGACTACAAAGATAAACCATGTAGGAAAATAAATTCCAGATTTAGGAGCACAGAGCTACATTATCAGTATTTGTGTACTCTTCAAGTTGAGAGCCAAGTGAAGGATGCAGGAAGGGTTATGGAAAGAAGATAAGCCAGTCAAAACAGGTATAAAATTCTTGCCAGAAGACTATCTCAAATAATAATAATAATAATAATAATAATAATAATAATAATAATAATAATAATAATAATAATAATAATGGTTTTAAAATTTGGGAAGATGAGTGCTAGCCAGAAGAAACTGCAGTTATTCAAGAAATATCATATTGTCCATAACGGGTTGCGAAGAAGAAATATTCAATAAAGGTACCTGCTGACAGCGGCTAATGAGACCAGCGAAATGAGTTTCTAGCAGAGAAGAGTCAACTTAGAGCATTTATTTTGTGTAGGTTGGAAGACTGTTAAATGTTCAGCCCAACTGCAACCTGTGACAACAGCACGACAGCCAYGGAGTGAAGTTACTGCTTTGTCAGAATTTGTCCCCATAGAGGATGGGCTGAGGAGTGAGGGGATGATGTTGCTCTACCTTGGTTTCAGATCAGCTGTTCTTCCATCTKTTAGGACACTGTTCTTTAACACACATTTGTGGACTCCTATGTATGCATATATATGCTCGGGCACAGGGGCAGATTGCAGCTGAAACAAAGTAGTGATTTATGAGATGGGTTGTGATGCTTATTTTACATGTTTCTGTTGTTGCTATTTTAATAAAATCCTCTGAAGTTTATTTCAGATGACATTGAAATACTAGAGTTACCGTAAAATAGTTGGTAGGAACATTCTGTTTATTTAGAAGCAAAATATTATATTTGTTCAACAGATTTCAAACTTCCTTTTGTGGGCATTTTGAATATTTTGGGAACAAATCCAGTTCTTATTAAATTCTGTAGGAATCTTCCAGTTGGTTCCAAAGGAAGTTGTATTAAGTTGTGTTACGTTTTTGAAGCTGGCAAGGTTTAAAAAATGGACATAGTAGTAGTTGGGTGCCTAATATGGTGAGGGCCAAGACCTCCTTTGGGACCCTCTGTATAGTAATACGTATTGCAGTGAAATCACCTCCGTTAGGTTTGGGAACAAGGAGTTAATGGATGGATAATCCATTTGGTGACTCTTTCAGAAGCTGTTGGCATCATAACAGAGGAATAAGGAATAAATATCAGGAATAAGTAAGAGGACCTCAATCTGTGAACAACAATATTCCTTTCGTGGTGGAAGGAGAGGGAGAAGGAAGTTGTTGCTGCCCTCCAGCAGGTTCAGACCCTTGTGCTGTCACGCAGCCCATGGAGCGTGTTGGACGTTGCTCGTGGTCCATGAGTAGTAATAGAAGGAGAAACGTTCCTGGCTCCAGATCACACAGGAGTAACACAGGGCACCAAAAGGAGTGTGAGGAGGTGAGGGTTTTCATTAGCAGTGTACAGGGTATGGTGACAAGAGGAGGGCCTGACTAATCAATGGGCTCTTAGAGAAGAAAGTGGAATAGCACCTGCCCAATATGCCTTGGAATACGACCAAATTCTGAGAAAGCAGAGAAAATAATTAGTAGAGAAGCTGTTCTGCTTGATACTGCTTCTGAGAGAGAAGATGTTCCAGGATATGGATTGGAGAGGCAGCTCCAGTGAGAATTACCCTGAGATGGCAGTGCTTGTAAGTGATAGGAGGGGACAGAGGTGGAATAAAAAAATTAGAATGAAAGGCTCTAGGAGGGAAGATTTCAGTAAAGTGAGGACTGCAGGCGTAATGTCATAGGGAAGGAATCTAGAGAAAAGAAGTTAAACAAAACTGGTTGTTCCTTGAGCAAACAATATAAAAGGCACAAATGCAAATTGTGACAGCCCAAAAGGAGAACAAAAAGCCCCATAAAACTGACTAAATTACAAGCTCCTTATAACCGAGCATAAGAAAGAACTGCATGGAAATGGAAATTCATTTGGATTATTAAGAGCAAATAGGAAAGAATAACGAAAGAATCTTGTCTTCATCAATAATCTGGATTATGGAACTGAGAGGATGCTTGTTAAATTTGCAGTTGTCTCAGACTGAAAAGGGACTGCAGGTCCAGGATTAGATTTTTATTTTGACATACTGGAGAAGAAGCCTGGGGAAATAAGGTGGCATTTAGTAAGGATGGGTGAACAGCACAGCACCCAGAAATAGCAGTATCTAGCACAGGGGACAGCTGGCTAGGCAGTGATTTTTGAGAATGATATRCAAGTCATGAAAATTACATGAGTAAACAGTATCGAGCTGTTATGGAAAAAGGCCGGGATGGATGAAGAGATATATAGCCCTCAAGATGAATAAAGCAGAGTAATTCATCTGTTGTACTTAGTGCTCTGTTCAGCTGAAGTTTGGTGGCCAGTTCTGGGCATCATCCTTCAATAAAGGCAGGGATGACTGGAGGGGGGACAGCAATGAGATTAGGAACCCAAAAATGTGGCTTGTGAGGAAGGCTGTCAAGAGTCAGAGTCACTTACCCTAAGAAGTGAAATGTTGGTAGGATAAAAAAGGCTTCAAGAACCTAAAAGGCCTGAATTTTTGTAGATGAAGTGAACAAATGATGTGTTGTCTCTATCCAAGATGGATAAGCCAAGACATGGTATGATTAGATTGTAACAGGAAAGAATTAGTTTAGACATTAAGGAAAATCAGTTCTTATGTTAAGGTCTAGTCATTTAAAACAGGTWACCTGGGCTATTCAGACTCTTAAAACATAAGAAGACATGTCCAAAATGACATAAATGTTTTTACAGCAGTATGGAGATGACCTGCTCTACTCCCTGTGCACAGGATCTTTTGTGGTTCTCTATTGAGCTCATTACTATATCACAGTTCATTTTCTATTCTGTAAATTGTGCAAAACATTATTTTACTTTCAATTCAGATTATACTTCTTTTTACATTTCAGTGTGTGCAGAAGCTTACAATCCTGATGAAGAGGAGGATGACACAGAAACAAGGGTATTTAATACTTTGAATTAAATACTTATATTTTCAGTTCTCAGGCGTTATAATTAGGAAAAAAAATAGGACTAATTATGTAAGTTATATAACCAATATTACTATTTCTTTCTGAAATCATCCTTATTGTAATATCTTTTAATAATCTGTAGAGTTTTGTTCTTAAAGGCACATTAAAAAAATCTCTGTGGTAGTTACCATGTTGCATTATTATATTTAATAAATGCCTTATAGAGACATTTAATTATTTTTTAATATAAAGTAACATAGAATAGACCGTAGAGGCAAGCATAAATGTATTTTATCTATTTTATGGTTTATAAAGTTATGAAAAAGATTCTCATCTACTGTCACAGTTTTGGAACCCTGCATACCTTTATAAGCATGTGAATTGACTATCAATGAAGCTGTTAATTTATATTAAACAGATGCTGGTAATTTAGTAAATATATGGCTCACTCAGAGGCTATGAAGTCTGTTGTTTATTCTGTGAAAATAATATTTTAAATGGAGATATCCAGAATGGTTTGCAGAAGTGAACTGAATTCTACAAATGTGAAGTTTTTTCTAGGCTCAATAGGGCAATATTTGCTTAGATTGTGGAAAAATATTATCGTTGGGTATTTATGCAAATTCTGAAGATTTTGCAGTGGGAATGTTGTCAAACAAGTCTAAAATGTTATGTAAAATGCTTAGCTGTATTAGCTCAAACTTTCAACTAGTTGCTGCTGTAGAATGACCACTTTAAAGATTTTTCTGTTCTATCCTTCAGATTATTCACCCTAAAACAGATGATCAAAGAAACAGACTGCAGGAGGCTTGCAAGGACATTCTTCTTTTTAAGAACCTCGATCCGGTAAGAGATTCCTTRTAATAGAGAAGATCTTGCACTGCTGGTGAGAACTGAGTCTCCTGCGTTTTGTATAGGAGTTGATAGACTTGACTTTTGTGAGCAGTTCTGTATGCTTTCTTGATCATTTCATAAACTGCAAAAGTGACTTTTTTTGAAGACACATGCCAATATATATGGGTCTGTTTTTCAGTACTATGAATGATAATCATGAATTGAAGTCTATTAATGTATTTGTGAGGTTCAGTATTTCGTTGTGCTCCTATTTTTAGGTATTTTTTTTTAGGTATTTATTTTTATTTGGTATCATTCCAAAGTGTACTCAGCACTCCATTAAATCTTAAAATTACCCCCAAAGCCCGTAGCTTAACTAGAGGTATWATGGAATAAGCAAGCTATGAAATAGAGGGGAAGAATGGTAATAGCAAGATGTTTACATTATTATTTCACTTAATGTAGACACTGTAAAACAGTGCAAATAATTTTCTTCTGAGGAGATAACTTCCTTCTATTGCTTATGAAACAATAATAGGCTTTTAAGGAAGATTAAGTGCAGTGARCAAATGATCTGGGCAGACAAAGGTCATAATATTGCAAAAAAGGACAGGACTGTTTAAGTGAAAGGCAAGTATATAAATCAAAGCATGTATACTGAGGATGGAAGTACTCACAACATACCAAATACTTTTTCAAAGAGAASTGATTTAGTGCTGTCAGGGGAGGGGAAGGGGGGAATATGGAAATAGTTATATAGACTTTTAAGTATGAAAGTAGAAAATTTTAAATTTCATTCAGGAAGGAGCTAATGGAGGACCAGCTTGTAGCTCTGTTTGAAAGTCAGGYGCTTTTATGGCAAATGTGATTTAATCCATCCTTCTGGTTTCTAGCTCTGGGCTTTGGTATATGGGAATGCTGAGCTTAACCCCAGGTTGCTCATACTCACAAAAACATGAGGAACAGTGAGCCAGAGAGACTCATCAAGGCCATCAGGTAGAGCTATGATGAAGTGGCAAAGGTTTTAACATAGGTCCTAATACATGTGCACCCTTGGGATTCTAGGGACCCTGTGCATCCTKTTGCAAAGGATTTCCTAACTCCTATATGATATCTGTTTAATGGGTAGTTAATYAACTGTTCTTCTATAATAAGCTCAAGCAAAAGTCACCCGAATATTTGTCCCTTGCACTCTAGCATTATTTTTGTGCATAATTTTATGCACACAAAGTGGTTTCTGGGCATCTGCTCTGGATGAGAAAYTGTTTTATTATTTATCTTTCTTATTAGTGTTGTGTCCCAGCCTCTGCTTGGCTGGACAGGTGTTATCTTGCCAATGACCCTTTAACGGACCCTTCATGTTTAAGTCTCTGAGCACTTAACTCTTAGGTACTTTCAGACCCTGTGGTGTATTGTGCGCTCCTGTAATCTGTCTTGATACTAACATGGGCCTTCTTCTTTCCTGAGTTTATCCAGTTTCTTGGGAGTATCTACCATTTGTCCAACTCCTCCTGGACAAGATCCATTTTGTTTTCTGCTGAGGACTAGGTCTTTTGTCTGTGTAATTAGATCTGCACATTAAAAGAAATGTTTATCAGTCACTTGGTTTGCAGAGYGAGTATCTCTTGGCTTCTTATCAGCTATGTGGCAGTGTTGTGTAGTCCTACAGCATTAGGCTGTTCGGTGTAGACATTTATATAGTTCTTCTAAGGAATTTTGAGGATTTACCTCCTCCATTTGTGGAGGTGATCTCAGAACTGAGTTTTGCTGTGCTGGTTTATCCAACTGATGTTGGATAACTGAAAATATCCTTCTGATGTTTTGATCTTCCTGAAGGCCTTTTTCTATTTTAGCTTCTGAATCAGTTGCTTGTAACTGTTAATAGTTCCCAGAGTCTGTTCCAGATGTTTGGGCAAAGACTTCCCAGCCCCTTTGTGGCGCTCTGCAATGCTGGAAATCTGCTCCTAAAATTTCCAAAGTTTTCTTCTTGTTTACATACATTTGCTCAGACTGTCCAGTGACTTCTGGGCACTTTATCTTCTAGCTTAATTCCTCCACAGACTGCATTCTGGAAAGGCAAAGAAAATAACTTTGTAAAGGAATTATTATTGTCATTAATAATATTATATTATTAATAATATAATAATTATTATAATTTTTAATGAAAGGTGCTGGAAAGCCACTGAGCTCTAAAGATAGCAAGGGTGTTGAAATGCAGCTTCCTTCAGCCTGTTGCTTCTTCGGCAGGAAGCTCCCCAGGAGAGACTCTGTGCTGCCTCCTCCCTCTCTTCCCTCCTGCTCCACTTCTGTGCAGGGATTCAAGAGCTTTGGCCACTGGAGCTGCAGTGATTTAACCATTCCTGCCCCAAATCTCTGCCTCACCTCTGCCTCTCCATCCCACAGCACAAGCGAGCATGTGCCAGCTGCTGCAAWTCCCTGGGGTATGAGCAAGAAACCTTCGTCTTGGAGAAGGATAATATCTTCAACTGCCAGAGCTAAAGTCCCCGGAACAAAAATCCAAGCTATGTATAAATAGTGTCTGTCCCTCCTCTTCCCCTCACACATAGTTTTTTCTTTTGCTTTGCATTGAAYTTCAACCTCTTCCTGTAATAGTTCTGTGTGTGGAAAACATACAGAGCTCAGTGAGCAGACAGTGAAGAGTTAGTGTAGAGCACTTAATGGCTTTTCCCTGATGGCCTTTAGCAAGTGTCAGGCACCATTCCTCGATAGGGCAGCGCTCTGAAATACAGTAGAAGAGCCTGCCCTAAGGCATGATAACAGTTGTGCTCAGTGCATGATGCAAAACGGAGCTCACATTTTCATAAAACATTATCCTACCCCTAACACACTTGTGTTTTAATGTGGTCGTAAGGATAAGATAAGGGTATCGTGACAGCAGGAGAAGTTGCAGTAATCAGGAGGTGACTTAATGCACTGATAAGCATTTTAATTAGGGACTTCATGTGGAAAGGCTTCCACATAAAAGTGAGAAATGGCAGAACCATTTGAATGTGAGACGAAATGAAAGAGAGGAGATGCAGATAACCTTCCAACTTTGAGACTAAACTTAGACCAGGCATATTTATGTCTCAAGTCTGCGTTTACCTGGTAGCAGTGTTTAAATACCCCATAGTTGAACTTAAGGAAAGATATCTGTAAATATAAAGATTAGCTCCGATTGAAAATAAAGTTTGTTACAAAGGAACACTAGTTGTGGTGCAATTCCCTGAGCGGCACTTGTGAAAACCAACTGTTAAATTCCTTAATGTCTGCAAGGTTATTTGAGTCATCTTGGAACTTCCTTTGCCTTTGGGGATTGATGAGTGTGTGAGTGGTCAAAGTCAATGGCAGTTGGGCAAGGCACTCCTGAGGGAGCTCCCTTAAAATAAAAAGCACTTTTAAAAATTCAGTATTTTAACCTTTTTTTTTAATCTTTCTGGAGACTTAATTGGCTCCTATCTGGTTGCTGTCACTCAATATTGTTTTTAGTTTTACTGGAAGAAGAATTTGGATTAAAAYGTGCATGTGTGGTTAGATAATGGGGAGAGGAATTTGCAGGGTTCTTCTGCTGCTTTATAGATGACCAGATTGGGAAATTTGAACTCCCTCGTCCACATGGTTTTGCTCCCGGAATTTCCAGAAGGAACCATAGGAGCAAAACTGCGTGGATGAGTGAGATAAGAGGGGAAAGGACATTCCCATGTGTGTTTCCCACTCCCTGCACTTCTAATCTAACCTAACAATAGTCGTTCCTCTTCCAAAAAACCTCCTTGCTTCTCCTCTCAGCACAACCTGTTCCTGGCAGGCCTCGGTGCTCTTGTTCTTGATTGCCTCACACCATTGCCCCTCTATTCTGGCACATCACTTCCTTTCTCCCAGCGTGGCGGAGCGGGTGTCGGGCATCTTGCTTTGGGCACACACCAAACATATTCCCACACCAGTAACCAGGCTTACTGCTGGTGGAGTTGGAAGCACTGGTTTTCGCACCTCCTTCTGTAAAGCTTTTCTTCCTCTTTGACTCTTGCTCCCTTTTCCCTCCGCTCCCCCTGAGCATGAGGCAGCTGGGAGAAAACAAGCAGATAAGCAGATGGGCCTCTGCCAAGGACCTCAGGTTGAGTGGCTGTTATCAGCTCGGTGTCCATGTGTGCAGCCAGCGGCTGCTTTATCACTATGAGGAGCAGCAGCAGCTCATGTGGGGCCCTTCACGGCCCCACACGGCCTTCACACGGCCTTTTGCATTTCCTTTTTACAAGGTACTTCAGAGATGAGTTGGTCCTTTGGTTTTGGTTTTAAAAGGCAACCTCTACTGGGGCAATGACAATGACAATGACAATGACAAACTCTTCGGTTCGTGTGTTAAGGGCAGCAGTTAAAAGCCTGGGGGGCCTGTACTTGCACTTAAAACCTCGCCCCGTTTTGTAGCAAAATCTGGAAGCAGGCTGAGGTGGCCTGATCTCCTTCAGGGGAGCTTTGTCCTCGGGCACTTTGCCTTGCTTGTGGAGACTAGTTCAAATAGACTTTGCCCCTTTTCTAAAAGGTAGTAAATTATGCATGTTCTTCACAAATATGTGAGAGCGATTTCTGGGCATATTGCCACTCATTCACCTGGGAAATTAATATGAGAGAGCACAAATATTGATTAATCTACTAGAACTGATTAACTCAAAGGAAGGTGAGAGAAAGAGTAATATAACCTTGTTTCATGAGTAGTGGACTCCTATGCTTAACACCACAGCATTCCRTGAAAAGAGCTGCTAGCAGATGAGTCACGTAATAATAATGATAGTACAAAATATTTAATTATTATATATCCTATGGTATAATATTACCATATAATTCTGATTATTCTCTTAAGTTCTTAAAAATATTGGTGAAGAATTAGGACCACAGATGTGGGAGTTGTTAAGGGGAATACAGAGTTTATYCCAGCAATTCTAGAGAGGGCTCCCAGTGCCTGAACATATTTAACACTCTGCCCTTGCAAAATTCTTTCTGAAATACTGAGTTTCCAA